TGTGAGCGGCTGTGGTGTGTGTAAGCAGGCTTGCGATGAGACTGGTCTGTGTGTGTATGAGTGGGCTGTGTGTGTGTGAGTGGGCTGTGTGTGTGTGAGGTGGGCTGTGTGTGAGTGGGAACTGCTGTGTGTGAGTGGGCTGGTGTGTGTGAGTGGGCTGTGTGTGTCGAGTGGCTGTGTGTGTGGTGGGCTGTGGTGTGTGAGTGGGCTGTGTGCTGTGAGTGGGCTGTGGTGTGAGTGGTGTCTGTGTGTGTGAGTGGGCTGTGTGTGTGAGTGGGCTGTGGTGCTGCAGTGGGCTGTGTGTGAGTGGGCTGTGTGGTGTGGGAGTGTGTGTGAGCTGGGTGTGTATGGGTGGGCTGTGTGTGTGTGGGTTTGTGTGTGTGTGTGTGCTGTGTGAGTGGGCTGTGTGTGAGTGGGCTGCATGTGAGTGTGTGTGTGGTGTATGTGTATGTTTGTTGTGGGCATGAGTGTGTTGTGTGTGTTTGTTTGTTGTGTGTATTAGTGTGATGTGTGTGCGAGTGGGTTGTGTTGTGTGTCTGGTCTACATGAAAGTGGTGTGCTATACCAAGGTGCCAATAATTTTCCTTTGATCTGCATGGTGAAAATGCACAGCATACTGACATTAACCCTTAGCCCTGCACTCCATAACAGTAACATAGATATACTCATGGTGAACAACATATGACATAAACTCAATGGTAGTTTTACTGCTTTAACAAAAAGCAAACAAGATGATATTGATCACATTCTGTCTGCACGATGCTGTTACCCCACTGGCAGTAGCTACATGTACTGTCCACTGCACATTTCTGTGAATTTTGTTACACACAGATGGCTTCACAAGTACACAGCCACCAAAGAGTGAATCAGTAGGCCTGAGTGATTACATATGACATCCCCATTCCATGAATTTGAGGGAAAATGTTTTTTTTATGCTATTAATATTATATTATTAATATTCATACTTCTATCATCATCACTAAAATTGTGATTATGAGAAAGTTATCAAAATACTAATAACAATAAAAAATAAAAGCAAATTTTTCCAACGCTCAAGGAAAAGAATAAAGAGGTGAATAGGTAGGACTAATACATGACTTCTTGGTGACTAAGTAGTTGTAAAGCCATCTCATTGTAAACACAATATATGAACTAAAATTTTGGTGGACATGACATGTATATAATGCCATCTATGACCATTGGGTAAAAATGCTGTATTGGTGAGGCCTATGATATGAGCTTTTATTAGAAGTTGCTGAAACTGCCAAAGGTCAGGAGGGACTTAGAGAGAGAAAGTGTCAGATCTTAAGAGGAGAGGAGAGGAAGAATCAGGTATCATCCTTAGAAAATAGCTATAACATTACAGCAGAGTACTGTTACTTGGTTTCAACATGCTTCCTAACCATGTGGTGATCATGTTCTGCAAGCCTATGCTCATCACCTAAAACTAAACATGGAAAATATACATCACTCAGTATTTATTCTCATACTAAATCATTCAGTCATTACCATGTCTATTTTTTTCATATACATTACCTGTCATCCTCTTGTTCTTCTGTGTCTATGTCAAACTTGTACTGAAATCCTGAACAACCGCCACCTTCCACAATTACTCTCAAAAAGGATGTTTTATCCTCATTCCCCAGGATCTCCTTCAGTCTAGCAACACAGGAATCACTCAGCAGAAGATCTGAGGATGGTTCGGCTTTCTCTGAGCTTGCTGTCAAGGCACTTGTTGCAAATGGCAACTGCTGCTTCTGAAGTCCCAAGGCAAGGCATGGCTGTGTAGATGAGGAGCATGGGAACGTTCTGTAATGGAAGAATTATAATACTTTAAGATGATCATCATAATATTGGGGGAAAAAAAAAAATCTTCCTTATCCCTACTGTTACTAGGGTTGGAAATATTCACATTCTTATTATAATTTATCTGTTATTAATCTAAAGACCTAAAAGTCTTTCTACTTCTTGGAGATCTTTTTTTTTTTTTGGACATCTAGACAGATCCTGAAGATTTGCTAATTCTATCTCAGACACATGACTCATAGAACAGAACAGGTGGAAACAGAGTGGCACAGACAAACAACTCATGTTGGAATGTGGCCATGTCAGGCTGAACATGTAAACACTGTTTCAAACCAAAGAAAAGATGTGTGATCAGATTCAGCTCCACTTCGGGGAAAAAATATTCATATGCCTGCAGGGCATTGTGCAATCAAAAAGTATATATATAAAAGTGACAAATATTATGCATTTTCATTTTCCTTCTTACTAATAAATCTTAAAGAACAACCAATAATATTTGAGCACAACCAATAATATCAATAACTGGATTTACTTTACAGATCAGCTTCTTTGGCCTTAGTAAAATCAAAATAAGATTTGAGACTTAGCATAAATAACACACAAACACATAATCCTAACTTCATACTATCACCAACCACATAACAAGCATACTCTCTATAATCAACCTTGGTAACACTAAAGCACTTCCTTTGTCTAGGAAACAATGATGATTACAAACTGATTATTTTATGCCAAACATCTAATTAAATTAAATGCCTAAAGAAAATCTAAACAAAATTTTGTCAACCTTTTTAATTATTGATGATTTCTGTCAAATATAATTTCTTACACATAGTTACTATGCAAAAAAAGTCTAACATCGCACACTCAAAATATTAATTGATAATTAATTTCTCTCTGAATGTTGTCACATCCTACAGTTACATGCTTTCTCAACTTCCACAGCACAGTATAATTTTCTATGTCTATGTAGATAGAGAGTAGATGTCATTCACTAATGAAATACCATGTTGTTTACTGTTCTGATAACTATCAATTTAGCTTCACTGAATGCAGACTGGATTTGACCTCTTTCACATTAGCAAGCACAGACAACAACAACGAAAAAGTTATCTTTGGTCAGATGTCTTACAAAAAAAAGAGAGTAAGTTTGATTTTTATACTCATTACTCAAAAACGAAACCATAAACTCAACATTGTCTATCTGGCAGGTATGTCACTATGACCTAAATTTCTTACTGTAAACTGAAATTACAACATACAGCTCAAGCTTTCAGAAGGTCACTGAACAGATCCCAGTACTTCCACTCTCACTTTCATCCTCAGGCTTCTCAGTGCAACAGTGACACTCCTCACCCAATATCTCAAATGTATCACTTTTTCCATTAACCTTTACTATTGTAATTATCAATTTTGATACAGATAACCTATTTCATTAAAAAAAAAAAAAAAAAAAAAAAAACTAATAACCATCTTTGTTAATAAGAGAAATATTAATGTCTGTCGTTTGGATTTGAATGGAAATTGAGGCGAAATCATAAGGGTAAAGATTACAAATAAAACCAACACTGTATCTGAATTATCTGATACGATCCACTCCAGAAAAAGCTGGTCCTGGGTCATTATTTCATATGATGTGTCAATTATAAAGAATAGATCAAAATTGAGAAAGAAAAAGTGAGAAAAACATTAAAACAAATTAATGGATCAGTCAATAAAGTTTACAACAGCTTCCTTCATTAAACCTTTGTTAGATGTTTCACATAAGTAAAAAGAAAAATGAAATGAGAAAAATAAAAGCTGGGAGAGAAAGAAATAAAGATACAGCAGATGTAAAAATATTGTAAAATCATTGTTGTGGCAGCCTGTATTGGGTCAAAAGTTGTACATGCTTATTTTCCTATACTTAGCAAATATTCTGACTCACAGAGGATACAATGTACATCTGGAGTATGTTGTAGGTCATTTTTCTAGAGATCAGTGGCTTTTAAAGTGGGGAACATACCCCCATGGGACCCTCGGTTATTCTGATTTTGACCACGCTCTCTTAAAGAGAGCATGGTCAAATAACGAGAAATTTCATAATAATGTGACTAATTCATACTCAATAAAGACTAAAAACACCCATAATTTTCTACAAAATCTGGGAGGGAATTTTAATCATTGATGTAAGGGGAGTGCAGAGAGAACGACAAATTCCAAGAGAAGTGGTAGTAAAAAGGTTAAGGACCACTGCTTTAGATGGACAATATCTCACATGACTCAATAATATGTGAACTTTTGAACTTTCGTGACCTTCAATCAACTCCAACTTAATCATTCTTATAAGCCTTATGAAAGCCTTTCAGAACAATAATGAGGGTATATGATTTCTATAGGTTGAATGGATTTCCCATCATGATTAATCATGCTATCCTCAAAGAAAATAATGTTGGTATGTAGTGTACTGTGATTTTTTTTTTTTTTTTTTTTTTTTATAGGTGAACTTATCTGAACCCAATTTTGTTTACCTTTTGACCTCAAGTGACCTAAATTTGATTCAATCCTTATAATTCCTATATTTCTGAATCCTTTGTAGGGTAGTTTGTTTATGAGATGACTGTGTAATATGTTATTGGTATCTCTGTTATGGTTATCTATAAGGTGGGATTCAACTAGCCTCATCCGAGATCAAACTCAACTCAGGAATTACTTTCCTTGGGGCCAAGCCTTGGTGCTTTACCTGGGAATGAGGTAGGCCAGCCCCAGAGTGGTTTTTTTCTCCTGTTCCTGCTCATTTTTTTCATGAGCAATTAACATCTCAACTCTATGAACATGTAAGAAATATCTTGAAAAATATTAAGCAACTTTAACATCATTAAAAATAATTTGAAGCTGACCTAAATGTGCCAAACTGGATGAAGTGTAATTGTAATGTAACCAATATAGAAGACTTGGTAGCCAGATCTAGCTAATGACAAGATCTGCATCTCAACAGTGAAGCTGATTTGAATATTTCCTCTCAGAACACATGAAATAATCAGAAGTATTTAATTAATATCACAATACAGAAACAGTAATAAAGGTTCTATGATGAAGTAGCCTATTTCATATCTACAGTAAGTAACTCTGGGTTCACAGTTTGTAAATAACACCCCCCTCAATGACACATTACCACTACTAATTTGCCTAATTTGGCAGTAAATAGCTAGGAATGTTGACAATCCCTAGCTTACCTAAACATATATGATATAAGCTTTCTGGACTCTGCTGTAATGGAAATATGTATGCATAGGCATTTAACCAGACTTTTATACCTACTGCTAAACTTTGTTACATCCATTCGTTGTTTTGGCTGTGACAACAAAATTATATACAGTGTAATCTACAGCATGCAAGAGGAGCTAGCATTTATAAAGGCAAGACAACAAAACTGACAGAAATGATTATAATCTATATAATTCAATAATTTCAGAAGAGTCTAGTAACTCTTTATCAAAAGTATATTAAATCGCATCATACTTTCAAAAACATTTAAAAGGAACCTGCTTATCTGTCATAAGCCTTGCACCAGTGGTGGATAATTGCTTGACAATGGACCACTGTTGAGTTGGATTTACAATAACTGCCATTCCATTATAGATCACTGGATATTTCTAATGGATTTCAATAAAATATAGCGATATATAGTTACATGAAACAAGTTCATCACAATGCTTTATTGGAATGTAAGTGATGTTGTTATAATAATCATCCAATTCCAAACATCTTTCCTTCAATTATTATCTGCTACAAATAATTATTTATCAATATACAAATATAATTTCTATTCCCTTACAAAAATGATAATCACACCCAATTATGGTTGAAACAACACAAAAAATCCCTCAAAACACGCAAAGACGTCTCAGGAAGTGTAAATCTTCCTTAAAGTGAGGGTAATCATTTGTAATTTCAAATGGAAATGAAGGCCATAATTGCGTATAGTTTCAATTTGTCATAACCATTAAGTATAAGGTAAAATTTGCCTGTAATGAACAAAATGACCAAAAATAAGACATTTTATATCTATGGTACTACCTTCACAAGTTGATAATAAAAAATGTATAATTTGATATACATTAACTGGGAATTGTAAAGGCACTATACTAATCTGAGAGGAAAACAATACTCACTGATACATGAAATTATCTGTGCAGGAAAAAATAATGTCAATGATGAAGAAAATGGGTTACGACAAATTAAGAGTAGGTCCACGGCGACTGGGTGGGGATCCGGGGGCAGAGCCCTCGACAGGGAAATAAAGTGACAGATGAGGGTCTGGGGGTGAAGCCACTCAGTTAGGAAGGCTCATATAGCCATGTTTGCGGATTTCCCAGGAATGGCTGGAGTAACAGTGGTAATTGTTTTTTTTTCACACATCCATCTAATCTTGCAATTTTTATTCCTTCCTTCAATAATTTCTTGTTATTTCCCATCACAAATGAGATAAATGAAATAATGTATTAGTAATGTTTATGAAGTAACCTAACACCTCATGTATTAGTAATGTTTATGAAGTGACCTAACCCTCCAAGATTAAGTTCCTATTACTCCAACCATTCCTGGGAAATCACAAACATTGCCATATGAACCAAAAACCTTCGTAACCCAGGGTCTTCACCCCCAGACCCCCACCCAATCACCATATATCCCTAATGGGAGCTCTGCCCCCGAATCCCTACGTAATTCTGGCACTTGTCATGACATATTTTCATTTCTGACTTTAATATTTGCCGACTTAGAATATTTCATGTATCAGTGAGCATATTTTTTTTTCTTTTATTATTTTTGTGCCATTACATTTTCCTGTAAATGTATACCTAAGTATTACGAACTGCCCAACTTCCTTACTTACTTACAGAGGTAATACCAAAAATGAAGTGCCTTAATTTTTGTCAAGGTAATCATTCCATAAACTTTTTTTAACTGTAACCCTGATTGTTATCCGCTGTAAATCTACCGCATTTATTTACATCATTAATGATAAATAACAAGAGATTCAAGCAAATTCCAGCATTCATAATTGAAAGGAATAATATTTTCAAGTTTGGATGGCTGTGTGAAACTAAAAATTTACCCGACTCTCCGAAACTCAGCAATCACTATGGCAATGACATAAATTTAATATTAGGCCTGAGTGTGCTCAACTTCAATAACTTTACCAAAATAGTCCCATTTTGAAAGACCCTGTGGAAATCTTCAATATATTCAATCATCATTATATCACATACAAATAAGAACTTCTAATGCAAGATTTTCAAGTGATGCAACAATTATGATTAACAATAAAAGGTACACACCTAAGCTCACAAGTAGCTTAATAACGTTTAAAACTTTTTCTGCTGCTGTAGAATCAAATAAGATATTAATCTATAACAATATAATTCAAATTCGTTTAGTCTCTCATGAAATATATAATGATAACAACAATTACATAAGCTAGCAACACCTGCTAAACCCGAGTTCATTAACCAAAACCTCCATTAAATCAGTATGACAATCTCACATCTCAGCTAAAACATGTACGCCATGATAATCTGCGGCAAAAGACACACAAAGCAACACTTGCCCTTCCACCATAATAAAACAAATTCCACAAAAACAAATTCAAACACACGAGTCCTTCAAGTGAATCAGCTGATCGAACTACATAGATCTCTTCCTACTAAGTTATCAGAGTCTCTATCTTTTTCCGCATCGCATTTTTAGCCTCGAAACCACTCGTGCACTGACCTGATCCTGGTATTTAAGGTCGTTCTGGCAACGGGCAACAGGAGACGCGTGAACCCACACCTTGAGGCTGCCATCTTCATCCCTTCTGAACACATACGTGAAGCCCAGCTGAGCCGCCGACCACTCTTTTCACTTGCTTTCAAGCGTTTTATTTTTGTTTCGGACACTATTTACTTTCCCTCAAATCGATCTTTTCAAATAACTAGAACTAGTAATAACGTCGTATAACTTTATGATATTTTTAAAAATGCTATCCTAATTCCATCTAGGGAAAAAGCAATAGACTTTTCCCTCCCTCCCTCTAAAAAAGAGAGATTTCCCCCCTAGGAAAACTTTCACCGCGCGGTCTAAATGCTAAGAAAATTGTCCCAGAACAAGGTCAACAGTGCGGGCGGCGGCAGGCCGGGTGTGTTGCGGGGACTGCTCGGGGATCGATCCCGCGGCAGACGACGCACCCCTCCCCCCTCGCGCGCGCCACCTTTGAATGCCCCGTCATGCACGTCAGGCACATTCACGGCCAACTCGACGCAGCCCCCACTCACGCGCCACTTTTGAATGCCCCTTCATGAACGTCAGGCACACATACGACCAACTCGACGCACTCCTTGAACGCAACCTTTAAATATCCCGTCATGCGCGTCAGACTCACACATGACCAACTCGACGCATCCCCCTCGCGCGCCACCTTTGAATGTCTCGCCATGCACACGCACACGACCAACTCGACGCACCTCCTCTCGCGCGGTAATCTTAAATGCCCATCATGCGCGTCAGGCATGCATATGGACAATTCATCATATCCTCCTCTTTGCGAGTTCTCTACGATAGTCGCACCATGCATGTCAGGTACACAAATGGCCAATCCGACGCTTTCCCACTTCACGCGCAGCCTATGGAAGCTCCATCATGCACGACAGACACACATACGGCCAATTCTGCGTCGCCCCCCAATCGCGTCTTTTTTAAATGCCCCAACATGCACACACGGCCAAATTGGTAATAGTGATTCGTATTAGCTTAATTAGTATTAGATATACACCCAAAATGACATGCGTGTAAAGTTCGTGAAAATATTTATGCAAAAAAACAGACATTAATGAATATTCAATATCTGCCATATCTGAATGCAATTAAGAAATAACTTCATTTAAGCCCTTCTAATGATAAGAAAACATATCAACGCTTTATACAAAAACAACATTTACATCCCACTGCAGCACCCATCGACAGCGCTCAAAGGTTTCCTCCAGAAGAGACGCCATAGGCCTGCAAAGATGCTACACTGTTCTCCAGGATGCTGTTTTAAGCACTAGCGTGTGTAGCTCCCCACTACCGAAGGGTCAGCTGAACGTCTGATATTTATTTAAGCGCATCTGCTCAATACGCACGCGCTCCATGCCTCTAAACATGACTTAAAACTGCTATGCAAGGAGGAAACTAGAGGGCGAACGAGTGCCAGCCGCAGTTATGTGCTTCTCTTTTCCACTTTGCGTTACGTTTTCCTTTCACATCTCTAATAAGTTTACTGTTGTTATTCCATTTTTTGTAATATGTTATATGCACGCTATATGCATTAATGAGAGACTAGTAAGAGTAAGTTACGTGGAATTGAAAGTCTAGAACAAAAAATTATGATAAACCGTCCACACTGATCATAAATCATATTTTTTCTTTGGTATCTATGATTTTTATATTCTATTCCCTCCTAGATAAGAATGCGTATATTTCTTTGCATCTGATAATCGTAAAAGTATGACGGATATTACAAGAATTTACGTTTTTGTGTGATTCAAGTTTTTTTTTTTATAACACCCGAGTTTTCACTCTTTACGCGCATTAACACACATGCAAACACACACACACCATAAATATATACATACGTATATATATATATATATATATATATATATATATATATATATTATATATATATGTGTGTGTGTGTGTGTGTGTGTGTGTGTGTGTGTGTGTGTGTGTGTGTGTGTGTGTGTGTGTGTGTGTGTGTGTGTGTGTGTGTGTGTGTGTGTGGTGTTATAACAATAATAAAATAAATATAATGAAATAATTATAATTAATGATAACTGCAATAATAATGGTAATAATTAATGATGATAATGAAATAATAATAATGATAATGATAATATATATGATAATGATAATGATATTGATGATGATGATAATAATATGATAATAACGACAATAATAATAATCATCATGAATAACAGTAATTACAGTAACAATAATAATGATAATGATAACAAAATTGATAATGATAATATCAGTAGCAACAATAAATATAATGATAACAATGATAGCAATAACAACGAAAATAATGATAATTGCAATAGTGACACTAGAGATAATGAAAATAATAATAATAACAACGATAATAACAACATGAATGGTGATAGTAATGGTAACAATATTAATGGTGATAATAGCAATGATATCAATAATGATAATAATAATAATGATAATAATAACAATGATAATAACAATGATGATAATAACAATAACAATCATCATAATACCAATAATAATGATAATAGTAATAATGATAATGGTGATGATGATAATGATGATAACAAAAATAATGATAAAAATAATGATAATGATAATAAAATAACAATACTAGTGTTAATAATGATAATAATGATAATAATAACAATAACAATAATGTGGAGGATAATAATGATAATGCTGAAGATAACAACAACAAACATTAATGATAATAACAATAATGATGATGATAATAATAATGATAAAGACAGTAATGATAATTATATTGATAATGATAATGATGATATTAGTAATATGATAATGATACTGATAATGATAATGATAACGATAACAACAACGACAATAATAGTAATGATAATGATATAATCAAAACGGTGATATTGATCTCATTGTTAAAATCATAATGATAATAATGATATTATTAATATCATAATGATAATAATAATAATGATATTATCAAAATCATAATGATAATGATAATAATAAGGATAATGATAATGATTATGATAATATTAATGACAACAATAATAATAATGATAACAGGAACAACAATAATAAAGATAATGATAATAATGATAAAAACAACAACAACGATAATAGTAATAAGAATGGTAATAGTAATGGTAATAACAGCAACAACGACAATAATGATAATGATAAAAATAATAATGATAATAATAACAGTGGAATAATAATTAATAATAATGATAATAATATATAATAGTAATAATGATAATAAAATATGATAATGATGATGATGATAATAATATGATAATAATGATGATAACATGTAAGTAATAATGATGATGATGAGGATGATAACAACAACAAACATTAATAATAATAACAATAATGATAATAATGATGATAATAATAATAATGATAATAATAATATTGATAATGATAATAATAGTAATTAATGTAATAATGATGATTATTAAAACAATACCAATAATGATTATTATGATTATGATAATTATGATGATGATAATGCTAATAGCAATAATGAAAATAACATCAATAATTATAATGATAGTAATAATGAAAATAATCATTGTAATAATGATAATGATAATGGCGATGATGATAATAATGATAGTAATATCAATAAAAATAATCTTACTATCATTATTATCATTGATATTAATGTTATGATATTGATAACAACAACAATAATAATATAAATATCGATGATTATCATTATCATGATAATAATAATTATCATTATTATCATAATAATGATAATAATAAACATAATAGTGATAACGAAAATGATAATAATGATGATGGTAATAACGATAGTATAAATAATAACAATGATAACAACAATAGTGCTAATAAAATGATGATGATAATAATATGACATTGATAAGAATAATACTAACAAGAAAAACAATAAATACCAGAAATAATTCTAGAGAAGTAAAGGTCGACTACAGTAGTCCATACTATCTAACAACAATGTAACAAAATAAATAAACATATTAATTAACACCATAATTTTCAATTCTATTTGTCACTGTTTTAGAGACATGGACAAAGCTTTCTCCATTTCTTACGGCCAAATTGCAAACAAACAAACGGGACACATTTTTACACATCTTTTTTCCAACCACTCAGAGGTGTGTGATAAGTCATACTATCCCGCCGATAAGAACGAAATACCTGCACTTGTAATCTATGATAAGCTATCTGCTTCGCACTTTCAAACACCTGCTTTCAAGCAAAGAGGGAATACCCGTGGACGTGATTTGTACTCTATCGAAAGCAGGAAAATATTTTTGTGAAATCATTGGGAAAATATTTATGTGAGATCACTGTTGCATTTGTTCTGCCGTCTAACGTGCCGCAATCATTTGCTGTTTGTGTTTTAATGTCTTTTGTATGTTAACAGAGTAGTATAATTCTAGTACATAAGAATATAAGTGAAATATAGCAACAGACTTTAGCAATAATAGTGAGAATGCCGGTGGTATAAGCAAAAGAGATGATAGTAATGATTATAAAGTTTAACTCATTAGGTTGATAGGTAATGACTACTAATAATTAACTAACAACAACAAACAATAATGTTGATAATGATAATGATAAAAGCAACAATATGATCACATAAAGAATGATAATAATCATTATCATACTGCTCTTACTACCCTTGTTACTATCCTTTTTATTCATATTTTTCTTATTATTTCATATCATTATATTATTATTTATTATATTTCTTTATCATTTTATTTACTGTTATCATTATTATCATCATCATTATTATTATCATTATTTTTATCATCATTACTACAACGACTTTTACTAGTATTATCATTGTTATCCCCATCATTATTATCATTACCATTATCATTATTATTGTTATTGCTATTATTATTCTTATTATTGCAATCTTTATTCGATTTTTATTATTCTTATTATTGTTATCATTATCATCATTATCATTATTGTTATTATTATCGTTGCTGTTATTATCATTATCATCATTATTATAATTATTTTCTAGATATAATTATCACTATTATCATCATTGTTATCATCGTTATTGTTAATTGTCGTTATTGTCATTATTTTCATTATCATTAATGCTATGATTATGATTATGATTATCACTATAATTATTATTACTCTCATTATTATCATTATTATCATAATTATTGTTATTATCATAATAATCATCCTTGTTATTGTTATTGTCATCATTATCATTTCTATCATTATTTTCATTATCACTATTAATATCGTTATTATTATTAGTAGTAGTATAATTATCATTATCATTGTTATCACTATTACTGTTATTATTATCGTCATTATCATTATTATAATAATTATTACTATCATTACTAATATCATCAAAATTGTAATAATTACTATTATCATTTTTATCATTACCACTATCATTACTATTATCATTTTTATCGTTATCATTACTATTATCTTTATTAACATCAATAAGATGATCATTACCATCGTCATCATAGTTATAACTGATATCTTCTTCAACATTGTC